TAAGAGATGTACTTTTGATATGACCTACTTTTTGAAACTCGTCAAAAGGGTGTGGGTGTGGGTGTGGGTCTTCTCTCTAACTACACCCACACCACACACCCACACCCACACCCACACCCACACCCACCCACACCCATACCCACACACCCACCCACACCCACACCCACACCCACACCCACCCACACCCTTTAAGAACACTATAAAAAGAAAATAATAGACTAAATAGAGCTTGAGCACTTAGCTCATTTGTAAAATCACTTTAAAGCCATTGCATTGATTGTGATATATTTTGATTGTAATATTCGTCCTAGCGAAAGTATTTTTGAGTAATGCAATATTTTTTAAATGATAAAAACGTCTTTGGGTTCTGAAAGGTTCACTAAGCTTATAACTTTCTTACTGTACGAGCTAGTGGAGTCAATCGATGATCATTTTGTAGAGCGTACTTTACTGCATCTTTTCCTCATAGAGACAAATTTACAGTCACTTATTTTACTATCAAAAAATTTATTATTCAAATCGAGTTAGGACTGCATGGTTATCTTTTATACTGAGTTTATACCTATTAGCTATAACGTAAGAAGATCTTCAACTCACTTTACATGACTATCATGATATAAAAATATAGATGTAGGACTTCTATTTTAATATAATAGATTATCTTTCAATGAACTTACCAATAGGAATCTTTGATTTACTAATACTGGAAGAAATAGATTGAATTTGTTTTTTGAGTGCACTTGCTTTTTGGCGCCATTTCATACTCTTGTTCAAATGACCAGCATATGACTTAAGCGTCGCAAGATCCAAATACAAATCAATACGTAAAGGGTCGTTGGATGGAAGTTGTTCTAACATGCGAATAAAGTAGTGTTGTGCCAGATCAGATTTTCCCATCTCCAATAATATTTTTCCTAATTTCTGAAGATTTGTTTCTTTACTCAGATACTGCTCTCTCATATCCATAAGAACTTGTTTTAAATCGTGTTCATCATCATTGCACAATGTCATTTGTATGATCCATACTTGACCATGTTTGCTTCGATTGACACTATCCAATCGAAAAATAGAGCCAAGCATGAAAAGCACTTCAGCTTCATCTTTATATTCACTATATTCAGTGATATCAGCAAATGGTTTTGTAATTGCCATCTTAGGATCGGCATCGATTTGAAATAATACTGCTTCTAAATTTTCTTTATCATCAGAAAACTTGAGAAATGATAGAGCTAGTTGTTTATCGATACTGGTTGAAAAAAATGAATTCACGGATATGAATTGATCACGGCATTGCTTCAAAGTTTCTAGTTCATTAGTTGATATCATTTGACTTCGATAAACCCGAACACGACTCTGAGCTTGATTATTTTGTAATTGTTATTGAATATCAGTGATATATTTACGAAACAAAAATATTGTATGAATATCTGCTGGAGTACGGAGAGCGGCATTAAGAGTCTTGTAAAAAAACGATTCTCGCGAGTACCACCGTAAAACATTGTTAGATGAATATTTATCTTGAAATTCACGAATATTACTCAATTCAATACTATTACCTTTATATTGTTGTTCACAAAGACGAATGAGTTCGTTTTTATCTGCTTCAGTGTATCGTAATCGACTAAGACAATCAATCAGAACTTGTGAAAAGACAAATTCACCATTTAAACCTATTGTTGAATTACCTGCGCCACCACCTGTAGTAAAAATATTAATTGATAATGGCTCTTCGACAAATTTCTGAATTTTATGATCATCTTTAATTCGAGAAATGAGCTCATCAAGCTCAACCACAACAGCCCTTACCTACCAATGACAAAAACGTTAAGATAACATCGAAATCATTTAGTTTAATCTTACTTTTGCGTATTTACAAGCCCATTGTTCATTACGTTTCTTATCGAAACAATAGACATAAATCGATATAACTTGTCGAAGATTGTGAATAGAAGGAACAATTTTTCGTCCCAATTGACCACTAACAACCATAATTACTCGTTCTTTTGGTGATCGTTCATCAATATACTTTTGACATTGTGATACATCGTGAAATTTCTTTAGATGATTAATAATAGAACGTAATTGTTGTTCAGTATCGTGATCGTCATTGGTGCTTGAACCAGGATCGAGCCAGACGAGACAGAAAATTTCGAGATGCATTTCATCAGATTTTGTGTGAAAAACATTGGTTGATGGAATAGCAGTGGCCATGTTAATCAAAATGATAAAATCAAATTGATTTTTTTGTAAATATTGTCGTTTTAATTGTATACGTTTTCTTAGAAATCTAAAACAAATTTTAATTCTCACTTTTATTGTTTCATTTATTCGTATTTATGGTGTTATATAGGTGTTTCCATTTGTTAATGAAAATAACTTTCCTCCGCTTCTTAGGTTTTATAGGTAAGATCATCGAACCAAATTGTAAAAACCTCAGCATTAATCGAAATTAATTATTTCTCTTTTCTTTGCGTTTAATAATCAAACAAGATTCAATCGTCATGAATGATAAATATGAGTTATATTCCTCATTCTTCAAAGATTATCATGAGAGGCCTTCCATCTAGGGTGTGGATGTGGGAGTGGGTTGGGATAGGTGTTAGTAAGGGAAAAAGCAACACCTACCCTCACTCTTATGTCGCACACCCACATCGACATACAATCACACCATCGGCAAAGCACGCTCATTGGATATCTTAAGCTGTTACACGTCACGAGAATATTTTGATGGTTCTTCTTTGTCTATCTTTGTCTCTTCTTACGTATCTGGTTCTGGATCTAAAAATATTGATGTAAATCGCAAGCGTTTCAATGGAACATAATACTCTTCTCGCGCACTTTGTTGAGTAGATGAATAGCTTGCAGCATGTTTATTTCCTTGCGACACAGTTACGCAGTATCTACCGCTGTTCGTCCTGACTTATATACGTTGTTCGGCCAATTGAGGATTTTTATCGGACTGCATTGTATATTCCTATGTGAGCATAAATATGTTTCTGTCATTCTCATATATCCTGTATTGCTTAAAACTGTTCACTGACATTCTACTAAATGGTTGAATGATTGGGGCCCATTTGCCATTACTACCTTCGGTGTTGTGAAAGCTAGATTTTTTTCTCTGACTCTTAATGGTTACTATGCTATTTGAAGCTATCAGCTGTTACTCTTGCAAATTGCTCTATTGCTTGAAGTTGTTCGAGATCAATTCTATGAACGACACTGTGGTCCTTGGGTTGTCATCAATGTCATGAGATATCAGTGGAAGAATCAAAATTTCACACAGTGACTTCGAAGTACGATCATATGTCCCAAAGTTTTTTTGTCTGATTTTTACTAATTTCCGATTAGTACAAAGTTTTTTCATCAACAGTTTGACGCATTTCTCTGTGCCTAGAAGTAATTGACTCTTAATGTTTCACATTACTGTGGATAATGAAGATTGTTCCTTCTAACTCTTTGAAATTAGTCAGTGAAAAGAAGCTCTTTGTGCTCATTATTACGGATTCAACTATGATGATCGGCAGCTTTTTCTCTTTATTGACAGACATTACTCTCTGACCCCCAAGTTCTGACCTTCATTTGTTCAGAACGATTTGTAACCGAAAGCGCGTCCACTTTTACTCTTACCCACACAAAGTGGATGTGAGTGTTTGAACTCTATACTTTAACATCCAGCCCCACACCCACATCCGCTATTACTGTTATTCACACTAACATCTTACTATTGCTTTCATTTTCTTTTTCTGCATGGTTGTATTAAATTTGCATTTACAATATGCTTGAACTTTCGTTTCTTATCTCTTTGATAACTAAAACTGATGAATAAAATGGGACAAAAAAATTAAGCAGACTGTTTGCCATGTCTTAATGCTAATATTTAAAACTCGCAATAATTTCTTTTGGTTTTCAAATCTTTCTAATCATTTACTCACCACAATCAAGTAATTGAAGCGGGAATCTTGTAAATAAATTCAATAATATGTTTTTATTGTTGTTGCCAGAATTTTTTGTAGCGTGGTGCAAATCTTTTTTGCTTTTGTAAAAATGACTTGTTTCTTACTGTTGCAGTATCGTAACACTTTCTGTCCTCATTTTTGTTTGCTTTGGATTCTTTTTTTTCGTTTTATCTTTCAATTCTTATCAAATATGCGCTCTATTCAGAAAGACTGCACGTAGCAACGGTAGAACATGCGGTGGAAGAGCATACGAGGGTGTGAGTGTGTGTGGGCGCGTATGGCTGTGGGGTGTGGATGTGAATGGGTGAAGTAAAGTGAAGATCCAAACACACACCCATATCCTCACACCCACACCCTCAAGTGTACATATTATCTAGAATTATTGTCTTATGCTTATTAAAGGATGGTGTTAAAACAAATTAAGATCAATAGAGAAAAAAAATTGAATGTAGGAAATATATAGAAGAAAATTTCTCTATAATAATACTTTGTATGTTCAATCAGAGAAAACGACAAGACTTTGTTTCTGAAATCAAGTAATACGAAGTTCAAAAGTGGTTTTAAGATTGATTAATATAGTTTTAAGGAAAAGTATGTTAGATAAATTTCTTTTAACTTTTGGAAGATAAATCGGATCAGTTCATTCAAGAAATAATGTAGAAAATGATGTGTTCATCAATTTATTCATAAATAGTTATAACACAATAAAGTCATTCGTAAATTTAATCTAAAATTTTAATTTTTAGTACTTATATTTCGTACATTTCCAATTGATAGAAGAAGATGAAATTCTTCTGCTTGAAATATAAAATCTTTTCGTCGTAAACGCCATATATTTCTTCTGAACCATCTCATTGAAATAAAAGGAGCATGCTTTTCAAGTTTATACCAAAGAACAACAGTTTCAAAATATTTTAATCGATTTATTAATTCAATCATCATTTTAACTGAATGAATATCAATTTTCAATGATTTAACATGTGAAAACGTACAAACAGAAAAAAATTTTAATCATCCGATTGTCTCCATCTTTGTATAGTAAATGAATAAATTTGTGAAGGTGGTTTCAATAATGGATAGAAGTCAATAGAAAATAGCAAATAGAATAAACGCATGTATGTTTACATCTTTTGCAGACGTAAGTAAAGTTAGTCCTATATTCGAGTTTTTTGTGTCCAGATTCGTTTTTGCATTTGGGTTGGCTCTCTACTTGGTTGAGTTATATGCAGAATTAAATTTTGGATTGAATGATGCCATTTTCGACTGGGACCATCAAGCAAAAATCTCATTTATACTCGAAATACTGACTTTTTTTGGGGACTTTTCCAAAAGTATTTCGTGTCTGGATTTGCTCTCTCGCTTGAGTTAGTTCTACAAATGGTGAGCAGTCATCCTATTCCGCAAAGTTACACATTCCTGCATCGCCTTCTGAATTTCTGCATTCCGCAATTTTTGCACATTCGGAATCTCTAGGAGATGCAGCAATTCCTGGCCATTCCTGCCTATTCCGAAATTACAAATAACTCATGGATGGCAAAATGATCATTTATCGAGCTTGAATAAATGCAAAACGGAATTCCGGAATTTGTGCACATACGGAATCACTAGGAAACGCAGGAACTCCTGCTCATTCCTGCTCATTCCTGCACATTCCTGCGTATTCTGGAATTACAAATATCTCATGGATGACTACAGGATCATTTATCCAGCTTGATTAAATGCAAACCGGAATTCTGGAATTTGTGCATATCCGGAATCACCAGGAAATGCAGGAATTCCTGGTCATTCCTGCCTATTCCGGAATTACAAATATCTCATGGATGACTACATGATCATTTATCGCGCTTGACTAAATGCAAACCGGAATTCCGGAATTTGTGCACATACGGAATCACCAGGAAATGCAGGAATTCCTGCTCATTCCTGCGTATTCCCGAATTACAAATATCTCATGGATGACTACATGATCATTTATCGAGCTTGATTAAACTCAACCCGGAATTCCGGAATTTATGCACATCCGGAATCACTAGGAAATGCAGGACTTCCTGCTCATTCCTGCACATTCCTGCACATTCCTGCCTATTCCGGAATTAAAAATATCTCATGGATGACTACATGATCATTTATCGAGCTTGATTAAACTCAAACCGGAATTCCGGAATTTGTGCACATCCGGAATCACTACGAAATGCAGGAATTCCTGCTCATTTGTGCTCATTCCTGCCTATTCCGCAATTACAAATATCTCATCGAGGGTGTGGGTGTGGGTGTGCGTGGGTGTGGGTGCGGGTGTGGGTGTGGGTGAGTGTGCGTGTGGGGTGTGGGTGTGGGTGGATGTGGGTGTGGGTGTGGGTGTGGGTGTGGGTGTGGGTGTGAGTGTGGGTGTGGGTGTGGGTGTGGGTGTGGGTGTGGGTGTGGGTGTG